ACACTTGAGAGAGGCAGAAGCCATCTTCATAATCTGAACAACTAAAGTGAATGAATGAATGGGATAACTAAATATGGTGAGGGAGCTATCTCTTTACTTTTTCTTTTTTATTTGAACAGAGTCGATATTCAACTTTGATTTCAGAAAGAGTATCCAATTTCTTTCAACAAATGGCGATAACTCCGTCCTCGAAAGACACGATGCCACATATATAAGGCAGATTCTCCAAGCCTCAGCTGCATCTTCTCCTGGACCAACCTGCCATTCAAGAAAAAAAATACACGATGTGATCTCCACCAGAATATGACCAATGACATATCACATAGAAGATTAAATGATAAATTGGGTCAGTTGGTCTATCCTTAACCAGGGATGAGTTGGGCTGTGAAATTAGTTCAATTGTCCATTATCTTTTCTTGATGGTTTGTATTTGTAATTTATAGTAGATTCACTAAAGTTGATTTACCGGTTGAGAGGATCAATGGTTTTTTTTTTTTTCTCCAAAAGCAAAATTCTTCAAAGTTGATAAAGATACTGTAGTTTTGATTCCATCTATGGTATCCACTACACAAAAGTGAGCTAATACATACAGGTTATGGAGCTTACCATCTGATAAGACACCTTTGAATACCACGGCTGATGGGGCGAATGTAAGATGGATCTCGTTGCATATATAACAAACCGACCTGCAGTGGGATAAGAAACTGCTTAATTGTTACTGGTCTCTCTCTCTCACTCTCTCTCTCTCTCTCACACACACACACACACGAGTGTAGCTTTGCATTCAAACTCAGAATCTAGACTTTTGGCAAAGAGCATAATGCCACTAGGGTCTATTCATGAAAGAATTTCAGTACCTCCAGCATGGCGTTTGTGCAAGGATCATCCAATATTTCAAGGCTACAATCAGCAAAATAGTTCACCTGCACATGATAGAAGCCCCAATACCGAGGTCAAGCACCAAGCATTTCCAACTAAACAGCAAAAACCTGGGTTGAGTATAATCACACCACTCAAGATGAAGGCATAGAAAATATACAGAAAGATAAGGCATTGATATCAAGCTTCAAATGGTGGATGCTAGTTCCAAGATGGCAAATCCGAAGAGCCAACCAGCAACAGACACATTTCCAGGTTCCCCATTTTACTAAATCTGCAATAGTTACTTCTGCAATTCTCTCTTATAACTAGAAGTGTGAAGCATGTTGGAACTTGATGATCAATCGAAATGTATGGTGATTCGTGTTATTTACTTGAGAGCTTCTTTTCCCGAGCTTACATTCAGAAAACATGGTTACTGAAGTCTAAAAATGTGCATAGTGCTGAGTAAGACATGTGGCCAAACAATTCCAACTGCTTGTTAATTTGAATGTGATCAATAAAATTGCATACCCCAAATCCAGTATTCACCAGCGACTGAATAAAATCCATTAACTGAAGCTTTGCCCAGAACAGAGAACTCCTCTTGCTGTTGGAATGAGGTGGGTGTCTCCAGGGAGCTCCAAAGCGCAATCTATCCTCCGATATTTTTCCATTGGAAGCATCAAAAGCAAAATTTTGAAGAATAATGAGCGCCGCTTCCATGGCAGGATTAACGACAGTCACCTATCAAAGGAAAAAGCATAACAATCCATGAGTACAAAGATAATATACCGGTACGAGGACATCTTGGACTCATCAACCCAAACCCACAAAATAAATAAATATTGATAACTTTTAGGTAGTAGGAAGTGGTTAAGAACAACAAAAAGTATAATTGAAAGATAGGATGACCAATGCAACCATCAAAATAAAGAATAAAAAAATAAAAGTATCAGGCATGCATATTTACCCAAAAAAAAAGGAGTGTTCAAAGACACCGAGTCTTTAGAGAAAAGCAAGGGCAAGAACTCTTTGTATGCTGTATACCTACTTTTATGAAAACATTTTCAGTAGTTTCAGTAGAGATGGAGACGGAATTCTGAGATACTTCTGGCACCCGCAAACAGGTATACTTCCACAAATCCAAGCTCAATAGGTAAAAGCTGATTATATATTGTAGCAATCAAGCAATTGCATCTGATAGAATAGCAAACCAAAGTTCAGAGGAAAAAAATCAAAATTTAAGTGCTTCCATGAGTCCTGGCTAGCTCTATAAAAAGTCTAGTTTCAGACTTTCATTGGCCACAAGAAGCATTTCACCGTAGTGGAGAAGTTTTCAACTTTCAATAGTTCTGTAACAGAGATCAAACTAAGAATGTGAACAAGTTTATGCATCCCATTGAATGTGAACAAGTTTGTTCCAAAGAGAACCCCCGCACTCACATGCATACCACAAAACAAATGAACATGATACTCTTCGATAATAGTAACATCGACTAAATATATTTTCTAACAACAAAAACATTCTCCCTTCAAAATGTTCAAACTATCACCAGGGCAATTGGAATCCAGTATTTCAAAACTCCTGAGTCCAACTTGAACATGGGAGAGAGCCTGCCGGTTTTGAAGGGCCCCAAACCTGCTGGGATCCCTACTGTGGACCAAATTGCCTGTCTCCTAACAGTGACTCAGACAATTTTGTGTTGCACTCGAGGGAGTCCAGGAGAGTCCACAAGGACCCACCAAGTCCGACACTTTTTCAGAAAATAAAAGGGCACCGAGATCTGAACCCTCATTATTGCATGTCCTTGCCATTGAAAGTATTGCCCTGGAAATTTGTCCCTAACTATAGTTTTTATCCTTTGCAGGATCCAAATCGTAGATTCAACAAAGAAACATTCAAAATCTTGGAATTGAGAGATTTTTACTATTGAAATAGGGTTTGGCCAACCCCTTTTCTTGCTTGTTTTCTACTACCCTAGCTCCATGCACCCTGAAAATTTGTTCCTGGGCCTAGTTTTGTTATTAATCGAATCCAAAGCTGGAACTACACTCAAACTCTTGGATTTGAGGTTCAAGAAATAATTTGCAATGAGTGTATGATAAACATTACGAAGCAACTCAATCTACTTATGACAATCAAAATTTTTATCGTTTTCCATTTTGTATATAGTTTTTTATAATTTTTATGTGTCTTCCTTTTTCTTTTTTCCTGACTTTTCTTTTTCATTTTTATGTGATTTTTGAACTTGGGGCAAGACTTGGCGTGTTGATTCGGGACTCACTAAGCCAACTTGCTCCAATAACTCACTGAATTCTAGAGTGATTCCATGTGTTTTAAAACTAGTGTTTTAAAATGCGACCGCATCATGCAGGATGTGCTGGCAACCGCATCACCTGACACCGCATATGCGAATCGGTGGGATGTGCCCGCCTATGTGCCGCATCCCACTGCATATGCGGCCACATAACGCATAACCCGCATAAGGTGCATATGCGGCCTCCGTGCGAAATGAAAAATACCCCTTCAAGGGGTATTTTGGTCTTTTTAAGCCCTGAGGTGGGGGGGGGGGAGGGGATTAAACCCCTCTAAACCACCAAAATCAGCCATTTAGGAGATCAAATCGACCAAAAATAAAAAGTGGCAGAAATTTTATTTTTTGAAATTCTTGCATTTTGTCTTGGTTGATCTTTGGTTGTTGATTTGTTTATAACAAATCAAGGGTTTCAAGGGCCGAGAAGACATCGATATTTAGAATCTCAAGATTTGAGAAATGATGATGGTTTGTTTTGACTTTTGAACTATTTAATCTTTATGGACTTTTAATTTGTATTTTGTAACTTTAAAGTTTGTAGTTTCGAATTTGTGATTATGGTTGTTGAATGTTTTATGAAGTTAGTTTCAAGTTTCTATTTTCTAGTTTCTAACGTCTTCTATGATCTATCAGGGGATAGTGGATACATAAGCTCCGACAGCTGACATTTTTGGAATTAATGAATAAATAAATACCTACTAGCACATAAATGACCTCCATATTTTTTCCTATGTAATAACAAAAAAATTTAGATTTTTTAGCATTTTTTTATATTTATTGACTGCATCGGGGTGATGCACCTACATCTAGACCGCATCAAGCCACATAAACCCCCACAACGCTTCGGGCCGCATACTATATTTAAGACACTATTTAAAACACGTCTTGAATCACAGATTCACAACCACAGAGAATACTTGGAAAGGCAAGAATATGGTTTCACATGCAAAGTTTAAGAAATTGTACTATTTCAACCAAACAGAGCTATCAAAAATATAATTAAATAAACCAAAATGATTAAAAGCTTAATCAGTTGGCAGATACAATCGAACAATACAAATCAGCCTCCGTAAATATATACCCACTAATTTGTTCTGATAAGTAATATTGAAGCATCAGCAATATTAGTAAGTAGGGAATGAATGATGCATGCTCGGTGCCACAAAGAAACCCCCTTCTAAGCAAACAAGTATATTGCTTCATTGACATGCCTACACAAGTGTCGAAAGAGGATCTCTTATTGAACTCCAGAATTCCCACCAGTACATCTGCAATCCCCAGTGAACCAGATGACACCAAGGTGTCCCATTTAATCACATCAAGTGATTCCCTTTCTACGATTCACTAACTTGAGACGATTTCCAGGTTCCAGAAAGTGCATCTATAGTCTTGGAGTCTAGAGTCCTAAATGACTGTCAACCTTAGGGGCAGGTTCTTTTGTAGATTGGGCGCAATCCTGCTCCTAACCTCAATCAGAAGTTGCTTTGTAGCCTAATCCTTCTAAATACACAACTCCCTCCCACCCCCTTACTTCTTTCCACCCTCCCCAACAGAGAATCTATACATCTAATTAATCCCAAACAAAACAAAGATGTCTGTCCCCAACGTGCTCCATTATCTCATTGCTTCTACATATCACATACAAGCTCAAGAATAAAAAATTTATCAAAAAGAAAGCAAGCTCAAGAATAAAAATCCTCTAAGTTGAGGTATTTAGCAGTCAAGATATCAACCGTACCAAACAAGCCAAATACCACAATGATTAATTGTAAATAGCCTCCCTGAAGAGCAAACATTGTGAAATCTTGAGGTGATGAATAAAAATGGGGAGAGAGGACCCCATTTGCCTCATTACTCTTGACACAAAAATAACCTTCCAAAATACCATTAGCATAATGAAGCACACTCATCCACTCTCTCTACCTTTTTACAATCTACATCTACCCGAGCATGTTGTCCATGATACTCCAAATCCATATAGCCATATTGGCGTGTACTACATAAAATTCAGGTAATAGTAGACTTAATGAGACAGTTTTTACCATGAGACAAAACCATGTCATCATAGGATGGCCCCTCCATTATAAATAACACCAACTAGCAATACAGACAAGAGAAAGTCCTCAAATATGAAAAATAAGTAACTACAAGTACTAAAATAGAATAATAAAAATGAGATCAGCAATAAAAGATGCTAAAAAAAGAGTAAGCAGCTAAAGGCAAATAATAATGATGATGATGATAAAGCAAAGGAGCTGACAGAAAAGGGTTAAAAAAACCCAATACTGGGAATACTCACTTGTAAATGAGCCAGATATGCATCCACAACGTCTTCAAAAGAATTTTCCAAATCATTCTCCTCTATCCTACATGAAACAAAAATAGCAACAGAGTATCACTATTGTGAGCTCTTAATAAAAGTTTGAAATTCCAGATGTAACCTGGTTAACCAAAGCTGCACATTTAATTTACATAATAAGCTGGGAATCAAGTACCAATGGAATCATCAAAAATCAAAAGGAACTTCCAGAGGAATACATCAATAATTCTTAATAAAAATCTCCCCATAATGCTTATCTTGTAATCATTTGGATTTATCAAGTGGAAAGAAGTTGCCAACCAAAAATGCAAAGCCAAAACAAGGTCAATATTTCAATGAAATAGGACCTAGATTAAATACTTTAATATGAACCCATGAACTATATTAGATCGAATTCTTCCAGGGTCTGTCGCCTTAAAAGGAAATATGTGGTATCAAAAAAGCTCTTTGAGCTGGTTCTAAATGGTTTCATGAAGTGCTTAAATGGGAATATAGTCAATGCATCATTGATTTCCTTGTTTCATGAAAAAAAAACCTCTTCCTCCATTGTCCCGTGGTCCAGGGTCTTTGGGGGGCATTACTCCATCTGTTGAGCTGGTAGTGGGTCACCCCACCCTCCATTCCGGCACTTCTTCATTTGACTCAATCGAGTCCTTGGCCCAAAGCCGGTAGGATTCTGTGGAAAGCCTCAGCAGCAGCTACCATTTGGGTCCTTTGGACTGAAAGAAATTCTAGAATTTTCAAAGGCGAGAAGTGTTCGACGGCTTCTCTCATTAAGAAGATCACATCTTCGGTCATTTTTTGGGCCACCAACCACAAGAGGTTCAAGGGTTACCCTACTTCAACCTTCCTCCAAAATTGGCTAACCTTGCTCCACACTCGTCCACCACATTTCCCTCAGACTCACCACTGGGCCCCACCCCCTCAGGGACAGACCAAACTGAATTTCGATGGTTGCTCCCTTGGCAACCAAGAACTGGCAGGTGTAGGAGGCAGACCATAATGGACTTGTCCTCACATTCTATTCCAAGCATATCAGTCATGCTGACTCCCAGTCAGTTGAGTCCTCAGCCCTCCTGGAAGGCTTCAAACAATTCAATCCCCTTTGGAGCCAGCCTCTGATCATAGACGGAGACGAACAAAACGTTATCATTTGGGCCTCAGGCTCCTCACCTTGCCCGTGGTCCCTCGCCCATATTTATGGCCAAATTATATATATTTGCAAGGACATGGTCGTTTTATGGAAGGTATACTTGGCGGGAATCCAACACCGAGGCAGACAACCTCACTAAAGATGCCCATGACAGCAACGTTTTCAGGCTTAGCCCCATTTTTGGTATAGGGCTCCCATTTGGTGGGAAGCCTATTTTCTTGAATTGGTGCCCCCGGCCTGTGGGTGGCATCTATTCTCCACCTGTATCTTCCCCCTTTTACTTATAGAATAGTTAACAGTTTCAAAAAAAAGATTCCTTGTTTCATGCGAAACATGTTGGCAGCATGACTACTATTTTGCCTGTGCGCATTGATGATATTCCTATTACTGGTGATGCTATGGAAACCATATGCAAAGTGAAGTACATATTTCAATATCAATTTCAAAAGAAAAACATGATCATCATATCATGTCTCTCAAGGATTCAAATTACTAGGATTGGGTAATCTAGGAGTGAAAATTGCTCAGATGGTGTATTAACCTGCTTTCTGTTATTTGAACTCGCTTTGGATAAGAATGTACCTTCTTTGAAATAGTAATGCTTCTACAACTCCTAGGATTGGGTTGATATCCTTGAGAACCGTCTCATATCTCAAGGATTCAAATTACCTTTTATTGTGCTAGTATCATATTTGAAATGGAGCTTATGCTCACACTCTTTATGTGAGTTCTTTTATTAGTGGTCTTTGATTACAAGTTTTTTTTTTTTTTTAATAATATGTTTTGGTAACCTCATATAGAATCATGTATGTTCAACCTCCCCTGCTCCCTCCCGCTTCTTTCATCCCCCCCTCCCCCACACACCCCCTCCCCCATACAACCCCCCCCCCCTCCGGTTCTCCGTCACTAGGAATCCTCCTGTACAAATCCTCTTTAGTGGGCGTCTTTCATCCTCAGAGAGATGATCGCAAATGTATCGAAAACCAGAACTCAAGTGCAAGCAACTCTCCAATGGGTCTCACCGGCAGAAGGTTTGGCTCACGACCTCCTCTACCCCTCTACATGCTTGGTGCCTTGACACCTTCAAGACCATTGGTAACTCTTGCAGGTCCTTTGTGGTTGTCCATTAGAAGTCCATGGAAAATCTGCCACTAGGCACTTTGCTGCTCATCATGGATGTGCTCGAACCGCATTGCATACCTCCCTTCCTTTGGCTAGAATCCATAGGAGCTTACTACTAAGCTCTCCTTTCTTGGTCTTCTGCCTCTCCGCCCACTCCCAGCTTCGTCGCTCCAGTAGTCAATCGTAATCTGTCGACTACCCCCGCAAATCAGGAGTAGTGGAAGCTCGTTTCCAAGAGAAGACCAGGCCGCAAACAAGGCGGACGAGACAACCGTCACCCCCATCCACCCCCTCTCAAAGGCTACCCACCGCACACCGCCCAACTCCACCTCCTCCACCCCAACCACCACCCCCACCCACCCAGCCATCTCGCACAGTCCAAGGAGATTTGGTGCCGACTACTCGAGCTCGAGAATCCATGCCCCTTGTTCCACTTGCCTTGGTCAAAATTGCTAAGGACGACACGCAACACCCTTTTGCTTTCTCGAGCAGGGCTGGGCCGGCAACCTCATTTAATACACCCACATTCCAGCCACCTCCCATTGATGACATAGCTGTCATTGTATCTCCAAAGGACACCTTTACCTCCTCACCAAATCCTGCCTCAATATCCTGCCCTTCCCTTTGCCGGCTGGGGACCCTCGACACCTGTCCCCATCCCTCACTAACCACCGCCATTTGTCAACACACTTCTTCCTCACCACTTCTCCAAAATTCTCATCTTACCATCCCTCCTTCTCCCCTTCACCCAATCCTCTTTGAGACGGTTCCGCTCTCCCTGTACTCCCCATATCATCCCACCCTAGCTCTCCTTCCATGCTCGCGACTTGCCAACACAAGCCACCCCAACCTACAAAACCCTGCCTCGACATTCCCAACTCATCATGCCTTCCTCCCTTGCCTACCTCAGGGGTCACCCCTCCTCAAACGCCACCTTGCTCGCCTGGACCTTTTCTCTCCCCTTTTCTTGCTGGACCCCATCCTTCGCCTCCATCCTAGACTCTACTCATAGATTTCAGGGAAGAAGTGGAAACATCACCCGGAGGTGACACAGCACCATTTCCTTCCCCAGAGAAGGTGGAAACTAGGCCGGTGGACATGGAGGGCAACCCATTTGCTAACCTCATCTCAGCCCCCACCCCAATCATAATAAGTTACCCCACAAATCCCCATAGTGGCGACCCTGTTATCATCTATGTTCCCATCCCTGTTGGCCCACCTCCACCCAACTCTATCCTCCTCTCTCCATTACCTTCTCTTCCACCGGATGCACCCATACCCTTTATCCTCTCGGGACCTCCTGCTCCCACCCCTATTTCTTTCCTACCTCCTTTTTTCACTACCCCTGTAAACCCCGCCTCGTATCTCGACCCTATTGAGACCATCGACAACCCGATACTCTTTATCCCCACTTTCTGCCACCCCTACCTTCGCTCCTCCACCCCCTGACGCTCTACTTCTCCCAGAGAACACCCCTCCTCCAGCAGCCCCCTGCCCCAACCCTACTTTCTCTCCTCTTGCATCCCCATAAACTTCCACCGTTCAAATACCCACTGTCAACCCACCCCAACCTAGTTTGGTCGAAAGACGAACCACCCCTTCTCCTCCCACGACTCTATTGGCGGTTCACCCGGGCTGAAACCTCCCTCCCCGGACCCCTTCGGCCTTACTTCCGGCATTTGTAGACCCACCCCAGCCTAGTTTGGTCGAAAGACGAACCACCCCTTCTCCTCCCACGACTCTATTGGCGGTTCACCAGGGCTGAAACCTCCCTCCCCGGACCCCTTCGGCCTTACTTCCGACATTTGTAGACCCACCCCAACAAACGAGCCGCCTTCTCTGGGGCTGTTGGCTTTACCATCTCCTATGACTGCCTCGGCTTCATCTTCTCACTCTCTCCTGTCTGTCGACACCATGGTGGACCCTCTCTTGCCACCGTTAGTGGACTCAGACGTTGTCAACGGCGTCAACCACAGCCAAGGAAAAATTTTGGACATCATGAAAGTCATGGGCTTCCCCCATTCAGGACCAGATGCCCATTTCCACAAATTCTTCTCGGCTGGTGTCAAGTCGCATTTTCAAGTAAGCAAGAAAGGAAGCCATGAACTTACCAACTTTCATGCACTATCAATTTTGATAGAGTCTCCACCTGCACCCCCTCTTCCTCAACAGCCACATCACAAGCTCCCACTTTGGGCCAATTGGTGAGACGTTCTCTATGGAACTCTCCTCTTTCTCTTTCACCCTCATGCTGATCCTCACTTGGAATATTCGTGGTCTTGGACAAGACCAGAAAAAGCAAGCAGTGAGAGATCTTTGTTTCAAACACAAGCCCACAGTATTGGCCCTAACCGAAACAAAGTCACCCCACCCTATCCTATTCCAGGTTAGGCAGGTATGGGGACGCCGACCATGTCAGTGGATCTCTTTACCTGCAGAAGGGGCGTCAGGTGGCATTTGGGTCATATGGGACCCCACTACTCACACCCTAACGTCCTCTCACATTGCAAGTTTTTCGGTGACCTTACTTCTGTCAAGGATCTCCAACGGCTTGCTAAGGAAATTCACAGCCGTTTACGAGCCCAATCAACACTTGCTAAGGCACCATCTTTGGGACGAGCTCAACAGTGATGCCTCCCTTCCACACCCCATTTGGAGCTTAGGGGGGGGACTTCAATGTCACAAGATGGTCCTTCGAAAGGAATTCTTCCTCTGGAATCACACCAGCCATGTCTACCTTCTCAGACTTCGTTAGCCTTAACAACCTCCTAAACCTCCCCACTCAAGGAGCACAATGTACGTGGTTCAACGACTCCACTATCTCATCCCTCTCTAGACTCGACAGGTTCCTAGTCTCTGTTGACTATGACTCCTTCCCTGCGACCCATCCTTTAGCCTTACCTAGGCCTACCTTCGACCATTGTCCCCTTCTCCCGGACACCAACCCTACTCAAAGAGGTGCCAAACCATTTATGTTCGAGCTTGCATGGTTGGAAGACCCACCTTCGCCTCGCAACTCCCAGTCTGGTGGCAGGATCTGTCAACCTCGGTCCAAGGCTGGGCTGGTTTCAGAATTCAATGCAAACTCCAAGTGCTCAAGGCTTGCCTCAAATCTTGGAGTACAAGCCTCCTGGGGTTCCTCGACCCCCAAAAAAGAGCCACCCTCGAAGCCATCCAAGCTCTCGATATCACTGAAGAATCCAGAAACTAATCAGAATCAAAATTCCTTCAAAGAATTCAACTTAGAACTCTATACCAATCCCAACTGAAGCAAGAAATATTATGGTATCAACGATCCAGAATAAAATGGTTGAAGGTCGGAGACCTCAATACAGGCTTCATCCATAGAACTGCCAATTGCAGGCCAAGAGATAACACCATCTCGCACCTGTTGGTGGAAGATCACCTCATAGACCAACCACATGATGTCGAGCACCACATCCTGGCCCACTTCAAAAACCTCTTCTCCGCCCTAACAGGGACCAAAACTCCAATGGGGGATCTATCTTTTTAGTGTTACCACCTGAAAAAGCCTTTAGGCACGAAAGACCTTTTTCCGAGCCAGAAATATTGCTCGCCTTATCCCAGTTAGACTCAGACAAAGCTCCAAGGCCTAATGGATACCCCATTGCCCTATTCAAACAATATTGGGAAGTCTTCCGAGATGATTTCCTAGCCATGGTTGTAGAATTATTTGCCAGGGGAGTTATCCATCGAGCCCTGAACGCCACTTTCATAACCCGAGCCAGAAATATTGCTCGCCTTATTCCAGTTAGACTCAGACAGAGCTCCAGGGCCTGACAGATACCCCATTGCCCTATTCAAACAATATTGGGAAGTCTTCCGAGATGATTTCCTAGCCATGTTTGAAGAATTCTTTTCCAGGGGAGTTATCCATCGAGCCCTGAACGCCACTTTCATAACCCTCATTCCTCCCAACTTAAATAAGTCCTATCCTTGGTAATTCCCCCCCCCCCCCCCCCCCCAAAATGCATTCATTAAAGATCGTCAAATCCTTAACAATGCTTTGGCGGCTCATGAATGCATTCACTCTAGACCACCTAACTAGTGAACCCGGAATTTTCGTAACGCTTGACTGGGAGAAAGCTTACGATCATGTGGATTGGGCCATCCTTGAGGAAACCCACTCTAGAATGGGTTTCGGTTCGAGATGGAGATCTTGGATGAGGGCCAGCTACTCTCATCCACACTTCTCCATTCTCATCAATTGTTCCCCTAGGGGATTCTTCCCATCTACCAGGGGCTTTTGTCAAGGAGACCCTCTCTCCCCCTTTCTCTTTGCAATCTCAGCCGAAGTTTTCAGTCAATCCATCTGAAGAATGTATTTGGCTGGCCTCTTACATGGGTTCAAAGTGGGTAACCAAGGGCCGACAATCATGCATCTCCAATATGCGGACGACACCCTAGTTTTTTGCAATGTTGATCCAGAAGATGCGAGAAATCTCTTCTTGTTTCTTAGATGTTTCAAGTTTGTGACGGGATTCAAAGTTAATTTCGACAAATCCAAAATGATGGGGATTAATGTCGATCAAACCTCCCTCAACTCTTTTGCAGACAGTTGGGCATGTGGGACAGATACTCTTCTGTCCAAATACCTTGGTCTCACATAATCGACAAGGTAGACTGTAGGCTAGCCGGGTGGAAACGTCGCTTCCTCTTTCCGGGAAGCAGACTGACCCTCATCAAAGCCACCCTTGCTAACATACGAGTCTACCAAACGTTCTTGTTTCACAGTCAGTAGCAGTTAGCACAAGATTAGGACAGTTGATGAGAAGGTTTTTTTGGTCTAGGGATGCCTCCTCCAACAAATTTAATCTCATAGCTTGGGAAAAACTCTGGCTTTCCAAAAAAATGAGGGGATTAGGGATCAAAAATCTTAGGATGCAAAATATGGAACTCCTAGACAAATGGAGCTGGCGCTTGACCACCCAAAGGGACCAACTGTGGAACACCATCCTCCATCGCAAATACCGAACACCCACCACACCGTGGATCCCTGACTTCAAGCCCAACCAGAGATCTTCTGGAATTTGGCGATCCATCTATGCAGCACACCACCACTTCCATTCTTGCATAAAGTTTCATCCTAGATAGGGGAATCGCATCCTCTTCTGGCAAGACCTTTGGCTTGGACACGCTTCCCTCAAGTACAGATTCCCAGATTTGTACTCATTGTCTCGTACACAGCAGGCTACTGTTGAAGATGAGATGGTCCTAGCGGGGCCTTTGAGATATGGGAACCCCGTGTTCCGAAGGGCTCTAAACGACTTGGAAATTTCCCACTTCGCAAAACTAGATGCTGAACTCCAGGCCATCTATCTTGCAAACAGTGGCCTAGACAGGATCATTTGGTCCCTTCGGGCTTCGATAGCTTCTCGGTTTCCTTATTATATCATAGTCTTTCACAAGTTTCAACTGCTCCTGCTGCACCCTCTTCTACAGTCTCTCAGGCTTGGGTTTCCATAGCGCCCCCCCACCCCCCCCCAAAAAAAAATTCAGATTTTCATGTGGCTAGCACGCTCCCAAAGAGTGTTAATAGTTGATCAAATACAGCATAGGGGCATCCCACTCCCTAACCGACGTGTCGTGTGTTTGGCTGCCGAAGAAACAAACAACCACCTGCTCCTACATTGTCCCTTTGCTCACAACCTCTGGGGGGTATTCTCAAACTTTTCGACATTCAATGGGTCACACCTGAACATATCCCGTCCATCCTTTCATCTGTCCAGCCCTTTCCTTGGCCTAAACCTGGGATTCTCCTTTGGAAATCCATGGTGGCAGCTGCCATGGATCGAGAGAAACAATAGAGTGTTTAGGGTGAATGCTCCAGGTGGAACAAAATTTTCACAGAGCTAAAATCCACAATTGTCTTCTGGGCAACAAACCACCACAGTTTCAAAGGAGTCACCACCACGACTTTCTTTCAAGATTGGTCTGTAGTCCTAAGACAATCGCAAACGCCTAGCCCGGGCTTCCTGTTGGATTCCCCCACCGCTAGACCATTTCAAACTGAACTTCGACGGATGCTCCCTCAGGAATCCAAGTCCTTCGAGAGTGGGAGCCATAGTCAGAGACTATTTAGGCAACACGGTGGCAGCACACCAACTCGGTGGCAGCCGAGGCCCACGCCCTCTTGGAAGGACTAAAGCTCCTACAAACAATAAGCCCACACTCAATTGTGATAGAGGGTGACTCGCAGAACACTATTCTGTGGGCCCAAAGAATCCCCTCTTCACCTCCGCCTTGGACCGTAGCGGACATCTTTGATCACATTCATTACCTGTGCAGGGATATGGACTTCATGGAAGCATACCTGGAGGAAGGGCAACCAGGAAGCAAACGCCCTAGCTAAAGAAACAGTTCACGGGAGGAATTTTAGCAGTTCACAAGTTTCCCTTGCTGGGAATTATGGACCACCTTTTATTAGTTGTTGTTTTCACATTGTAACCTTCTATTAGGAGGATTTTGGTCTTCATTTTTTGTTCTCTTTCCCTAGAGCACCCGACTTTGTGGTCCGCCTAGGTTTTTTAAGTACTGTTCCATTCTCTCAATTTAAGGTTAACATTCTCAAAAAAAAAAAATTACCTTTCATATTCCTCGGTCTGCATGATTGAATACAACTCGGAAAGATGTCGAGGGTTTGGCCCCAACACATCAGCGACAATAGTCCACTGGTTTTCCATCACCACAACCAAGTTAGTATGCTAATGAAATGCAACATCTAACAAATGCCAAAAAAAACCATTTCTAGGGTACTCTCTATTTTCCAGCTAAAAAACCATATAGGATAAGTTACAATCAGCAGTCAGATAATTTTCCAACTCTTTGCACTTATAATGGAAGGAGAAATTTTTGTGACTAAATATAAGATAGCTGTGCTCACCTCCTCCTCACTAAAGAAATCATCAACCATATGCATCTTAGCTTCTTGAACCGTCCATCCATAGTTCTTCAGTTAATATGGATTACAAGCAGATCAATACAAATTTCTAAACATGATATATTTTAGCAGCTTCTCTAGGCAATAATGGAAACCATTAGACAAAAAATCCCATCTCATACAATTCAAAAAGATGAAGAAAACAAATAGGTGCCACCTAAATACCTCACGAGAGATGAAAACATCTGGAAATGCAAAATCTCGATAGATGTGATATGAATAGTAGCTGGAACATGAGGACATTAAGCGTCTTCAAAAGAACAATAACACCTCTTCAAGAGAATACTTATCACATGAAACTATTTCATCATTCTGGAAGACATAAAAGAAATAACTAATGATACCATCAATGTATACACGATATTGGATCTGCATTAGGAAGAAATTTATGTAAACATCATTTAACATCAAGTTAAGTATATGCAAAAGCACAATAGAAAACGGTTATTATAAATGGATACAAGAAGGTCATCTGTAAAACAAGTCTTTTGAAAATATAACTACGTGAGTCCAAGAAAATCTAGAAAAAGAATTGGGATTGAGGACATTCAGTAAATTTGAGATCTACTCTCAGGCTTCCCCAAATTTGTGTGAGGGAAAACATGTCACGTTAGTTTGTCCATTGATATTCAAGAAAGGATTGGGAACAAAGTACATTAGATATGGCAAGCAAAATTTTTCCCATAGAACATTCCCATCTCAGCCTCTGATACATCTATCCACCAGTTATTTTCTAACTTCTCTGTAGGAATCAATAGCTCTTCTATCAGTTATTTATATTCCCAAGAGTGTAAAATTGCACATTGAAAGGAATTCCTAAAAGAATTTTGGCAGGAGGTATGGACTTTGGAATCAAACCTATCATATGGTATAGAACTTGAAGGTCAGTGACAGCAGCATTGTAATTAGAAGTTAGTTGGAAAGTTGTAATAAGCCCTAGAAATATGAATTACCATTTCTTTGCTTAATGCCACTCACACATTCTTTAATTTGTGTGGTTATACCGAAGGCCAGCATCAATGGTGGAGAACTGTATTGTGGGTCTTTATTGGATACAAACTCGGGCCATATGGCATTGAGAGATTTCTTTCTTGTATTACTGTGGATTGCTACTAACCTTCAACTATTTCTTAATCTTGCTGAGAGAGAAAAACAGGTAGGTGCTTTGTAAGTCTTAGGTCAATACCTGAGATGGCTTTGAGATAGTTTGGGCACAATTATTTATTGCTTCTTAAACGGAATTTCTTAAGTAGTGCAAAATGCAAACATACCTGTTTAAGATCTACAATTTATGGGATTCCTGTTTCAAAGCGCTTGATTCCTATGATTTAATAGTTTCTATGACAACAAAATTGTATATCTAATGGCAAGCACAGTAATAAGTTTATGGAGGGATGCAAAACAGAAGCAATAGGAGAGGAGACAGTGGCAAAACAATCATACAAGAAGCAACTCATAACATGCTTAATTTATTTCAACTAATGCTAGGAGAAGATCTGATACGGATCATGCTTAAGTTTTCTTGAATCATATTTGCTAATTCATATTTCAAGGTTAAAGACAAGTATCAAAAGAACCAAAGTTTCAATATTTCAACAAACACGTCCTACGTCCTGAAATTGCATATTGATAGCTATCAATATATTCCCAAAATATGTAACAATGTACTGTAGACTGCCCCAAAAAGAAAAAAAATGTCCAAGTACCTGTCCGAGGTTGATAGTATCACAGGTAAGCACCTCTCATTCACACCCAGAGAAACTAACCTCCACAGAAAGCTGTCATGATACATAGAGGCATTGACCATTGAATTGTCTGTCAAGACTGCCTTGCGAAGAATGTCAATGTTGTTTATGATTAGTTTGGGCTGTTCACGCAAATCAGTTTAAAGAAAAGTCAAAACATAAACCACCAACTAACATTTATAAGTCATTTGATAACTTGCATTGAATAGAGAAACAGCTCAAAGATTACCCAGTTCACACGATTTCAGAATTTCTTTTGTTATATTAAGGGTATGGTTTAGGGCACCCAAATATCCTAATATCTAAAGATACTATAGAATCTAAGATAATTTGAATTGTGGAAGCTTATGAACCCTATTTGAAAGGGTCAAAACATATCTTTTAAGATTCAATTAATCGCCTAATATCCGTATCCCAAAAATTTCAACTCGAGTTAAATTTTTGGGAATACTAGAAACAATATTGGCCGGCTTTCCATTTCCTGTCCCAATATTAGCCCATTCTTTCCACTATGTTAGATTAACCATCAAGAGCAAGCAGCTACAAATGCATTTGTGTCGAAAGAGGATAGTTTGTTCAACCACATTCAGCTGTCAATCTCACCAAAAATAATTGTCCCCGCTACTGAAATTAAGAAGAGCCTTGATTAATAATGCCTAAAAATAGAGGACCCTCGATTTCAGGGGCGGCCTGTCCAGTGACAAGAAGCTATGGTGGTCATCAATCATCTGCTGCTAAGGAAATTGAATCAATATGAAAGGAAGTTTCAAAGATTCATGGGCCTAACAATAATCCAGGTGGGATCTGAAGATTTTTTGAGAATAAACATGAAAGATGTGAAGTAATGGAGCCTTATTCTTCTGAACGCATGACTCTAAATCACCAGTTGAGAAACTGGTCCACGCTCCAAGCTCTTTAGAGTCTGAAGATTGTGATGAAGATCATATACTCCAGAGAATGTCACAAAGAAAGACATGAAACTGAGTCAAGCTCAGATTCAGTTGTAGGGTTGCCTGGCTTACAGGCAATCGAGTTGAAAACCCGACTAGCAAGGTTGACATTGGCTGCTGTTAGTGAAGGGGCATTTGAGGTTCTTGAAGCCAACAAAGCCTTTATTCAAATTCTCAGATTTCTGAATATTTAAGTCCTGTTTTGTCAAACATACCCTAAGTTGTCAAGAATCAATATCATAATAATACCAGCAGAGCTTTTTAGCATGTCTTGATCACCAAGGAAGTTGAATCAGTGGAATGAGAGCATATGGTATTTATTTCATCTTTTGTGGCATTCAACTTATTTTTTTGATAATCATAAACACATAAAGTTAGTACGCAGAAAATGTTTAAAGGGATACAACCCCAAAACTCTAAGATCCCAACCATACCTCCCAGGAAAGAAAAGCAAGAAAGTCTTTCAATGAGAATCGGAGATCAAGGTTGAAGGTCATCCAAAAAAATGAATAGTATATGGTTTTATTTTGAAGATGTTGAACTAAATAAGCATTGAGAGTTAGTGAGAACTTAGCAGCAGAAAAAATAGTTCCATGGAAGTCAAAATAAAAACACATACACACGGTTATTCATGCTAAAGTATATTTATCCCAGGCTTGCCCTATGAAGAAAAAACAAAGAACATTAGGCAACCACATCGATTGGCCTCATAATTACCTCGAAGTATTCAAATAAATCATGAAGGATGCAACACGTTGGCTAGAGTCATCCCAAAATCAAACTGATAGTCTTAAATACATAAAAAACGATGACGAGATTCTCACCATGCAATAAATAAATATATCTTGTTTCTTCTGACAGTCATCATATTTGTCTTCAGTTTGAGAATTGTCAGTATCATAGGAAACTTGGATATTCAATACTAGCTTTGAGACATTGCATTCATCAAAAAACTGACTCCGCATAAAATCCATATTGCTACCAAATCAAATATGGGAGTTGTAATGCACAGATTGACATTCAGCAGTTCCAATCAATGAAAAAACATGTACTAAGCTGACATGATTACAAAAACATAAAATGGGAAACACACAAACTGCTGATCCTGATGCTAGTACTACTATTACAATTACTATCGTAAAAGAATTACTACTACAACAACTACTACTACTGTTGCTGCTGTTACCACCACTGTGGCAGCTGCAACTACTACTACTACTACCGCCACCACTAATTATGCTATTATTACAATGAATAATTACCATCAGGCCAATTTTGGTGCTAATACTACTAAGCTACAAGAAATATTACAACTACAATTACCATACAACAATAACTAGAACGAATGCTAGTATTACCACTAGCTACTTCTACAACAACAATGACTACTACTAGTCTACAACTAATGTTACTGCTAAGCACCCTTAACAGCACTAACCGGTCCTGCTGCTCCTGATATTACTACTACCACCCATCACCAACACTACCAGTACTACTGTGACGACCAGTAAGCCGCCACCACCATTCCAAATGCTATTCTTGTTGCTGCTACTACCACGTTGTTATTGGTGATCTTCTCGTGCTTGTACTTGTTTCTTTTGCAATGAGTTGTGTTACTATTTCCAAAAGACAGTTAAATTGGGATACAAAGAGAAAAGACCACCACTCCAACTAATATTTTTGTTGCTGGTACAGCCACTGCTACTACATTGTTATTATTGTTCTTCTTGCCATTGTTCTTGTTGCTTTTTCAATCAGTTTGTGTTACTATTTCCTAAAAACAATTGAATTGGGATACAAAGAGAAACAAGAATGGCATTTCATCATAAACATATTAATCGAAAATGCACAGACCTGGAAGAATCCAAGCTCTGATGAGGCCGAAAGCAACTCAAGCAATAGTGAGGGCCAATCTGTGGCCGCATTGGTGAGCGATCTCGAGAACCCACCATTGCGATTGAGCTCCCTGATCGCCCCCTCCCTCCACTTCTCTTTCCTACACAACACTTCTTTGGCCAATCGCAAGGCCAGAAGCGCTTCCTCAAAGCAGGCCTCCTCGTCCTTGTTCTTTACATCGAGCCCAAACCCACCACCCTTGGGGTGCACATAAACCGAGCTATCGGGGCTCAGAACATCAAACCAGTCCCTGAGCTCAGCTAAGCGGGCTCGACGCTCGGTTTCTAAGGATTGGTTGCCTTTGTGCAAAGTACTGATGACCAGGCGCCAGAGGTCAGCTGTGTGTGCACGAGGTAGCGCATGGTTAGTATATTGGTTGAGAATTTGGCGAAGGGCTGAGTCTATGCCATGCCATTTGAGGAGGGTGGTGTACACTTGGGAGGAGCTGATGGAGCCGAGTCGGATGGCTTTTAGAGTTAGGGCTTCGAGAGATTGTTCAAGGTGGATGCGAAGGGAGGTTAGGGATATTGTAGGGGGCGAGTGGTGCCATTGGGGTGGTGGTTGTTGTCGGGGATGATTGTTATTGCTGTGAAGAGAATGGAGGTCGAGGTATGCAGTGGCATGGGGGGGCTTGCACCAGTTGTCAAGTAGCCCTGAGATGAGAAAGTGGAGACTGTAAGAGAAGAGAGAGAGAGAGAGAGAGATAAAGAGATAGAGATTAGTACTGTGGAGGATTGTGGTCTTGCCGGCGCCTCTGGGACCATGGAAGATGAGGGGCTGAGGAACTTTAGGGGACCGACCGTAGTTGTTCAGGACCGTCTCCAACAGAGGCCGAGGAATTATGCGCCACTGCGCCATGCCCTCTCTCTCTCTAAGAAAATGAGATAGATTCAATATACAGTAGAGAGAGATTTATGGGCTGAACTCTTTTCTCTCTCTGTGTCTCATTCGCGAAGCTCGCTCTCACTGGCGGAGTCTCATTTCCTCAGTCGGCCATGGGCTGAGCGAGGGAGGGACTCCACAGTCAGAAACTGAAAAACGAGGGTTTTTCTACTATGAAATTTACAAATAAGGCCTGGGCAGCAGCCACCGTCTGGTTTTTTAAAATTGTTCTCATGGGGATGAGCCGTATCAAAATAAGCGAGTACGCAACTCTCCAAAACCTTCAAATCATTTAAAAATTATATTTCTGAAGAAAATAAGATTTCCATGCTCTAAAACTTGTGTATATTGTAATCAAGACTTAAAAATAAGTGTTCATAGATCTACAATATATATAGTTTCATATATGTATAGTTTCATTGTCTGTGTTGGAAATTTATTTTAGAACCATAGTGGAGATTACAATCCCCAAAGTGCTTTTGGGATGAAATATAATGTGATGCTTTACTTAGTTTTCATAAAGCCTAGGCCTTATAGAAATTGTATTCTTGCCTTTTACTTTTGTTTTTAAGTCAAAATAGTATTAGATTTTTGCAAAAAATACTTTGATATCTCTCATAGCAGCATTTAAAAAAGAAAAGATAAAAATAAAGCCTAGGCCTTATGAAAAAGAAGTAAAGCCGCATTTTAAATCTTATCGAAAAGCATAGTTTTGGAGACCAAAAACCTTCATATCAATTATCTTAATCTCGACTATTATGGATATGAAAAAAATATAATTCTAATATCTAAAAATAATGTATATTATTGGGAAAATTGCTAAAACCCCCTAAGATGGACTTTTTACCCACTTTACATCCACCAAACTTTTGTTGGCAACTCCCCCCCAAAAAATGATGTTTCTAGCTAATACCCCCTACACAAAAAATTAACTTATTTTGAACAAAAAATACCCTTCCCTCACATAGCAAATTATTTTTGTTAGAGAGAGCGGTCCGGCATTTTGAACAAGCAATCGGGCGATTTTTTATCCAACGATTATTTTTTTTGTTGCGGTATTATTTTTTTTGCTGGAATGGGTGGTCCAGAGTTTTGAAGGTACGTTTCAGCATTTTGAAGTTACGTTCCGGCATTTTGAAGTTGTGGTTCGGCATTTTGAAGGGGCAATCCTGGCATTTTGAAGTTGCGGTCCGGCATTTTGAAGGGGCAGTCCTGTGTTTTGATATGGCAATCCGAAATTTTGTAGGGGCAGTGTGGTTCATAGATCTGCGAAATCTATACAACTTTTTGAGCTATAAAATTTATAATCACCGGTGGAAATAAATTTTAGAACCATCATAGGGATTTCACATACACATAGTGTGTTTTCCTAATAAAATTTCAAGGTGAGGGTGTACTCTTTTTTTTAAGCCTAGGCTTTATAGAAACCACATCCTTTTAAAAGTGTAAAAAGTGTACAAGAATACTATTCATACTTGGTATATAGACATCACAATTAATCTTCAGGGCAGTTATATTTGTTCTATTTATTAGGCTCAAAGTTCAACAGAAAAAAATTTAATTCCTCATTGTAAGGAATCAAAGCAGAACTAATAGTTTCAAACTGCCTAATGAAAATGTTTATATAAAATTGAGGCCCTAAACAATCACACTAAAGCGCACCTCAAAAATTCATTAGAAGAAGTTGTTTCCATACTAAAAGCACCAAAATCGATCATCTCAACCTTGAGATAATGGATATAAACAACATGGACTTCACAGTTTGGAAATAGTGCATCTTGTAATGTATTATCTAGACTGTAAATTTTCAAGCTTTTTAAGTATTTATAGATTTACGTGATCTAAACTTTTTTTAAGCTTTAAATTGTATAATTAGATATCAAAAATAAATTTTCAAAGCATCAAAAAGACTTTTGGTACTAAAACGATGTCTTTCAATACCGTTTGAAGGTACGTCTTACTCTGAGTGTTTGGGGCCTGAGCCTCATATAAACCACACCATATAAGAAATCAAAGTAGTTCTGAACTTTGAATTGGCCACTCAATTCCATCCAGTGGCCTGCAGTTAATATTTTTAACTATAGTTAGTAAATCGCCGTTTAATCAGCAATTTTTTCAAAAAATCGATGTTTTTATGGAAACAGTTTTAAATGGCGACTTTTAAAAAAGATTGGAAAAAAATCGTGTAGTTTTCTTAAAAATGTTTAAAACACGCTTTTTCATAACACGATTTAAATCCAGCCAAAAAATCGCATCTTTTTTTACCTATAATTTTTTTTTTTGAAAGATAAACTTTTTTTTGCCCTTTTGTGCATTGCAGCCATTGCTACTTTCATGCTTTTGAAAAAAATATATTATTTAAAAAGAAAAAAACCTAAAATAGAAATTTGTATCCCCACTATGTTCTTCAAAGCCACAATTGCAGATTGAATGTATGAATTTTTTTTCCCTTTTTTAAAAAATTTAAACAAGTAGATGCAGATTTCAGTGTCATTGTGCAAACTTAGATGAGCAAGCAATTGTACATAAATCATTAGTCCCCAAACCTAACCTTTGAGCTCTGCATGGTGTTTCCCCAAAAAAATGGAAAATTGTATTCTTTTTCTCTCTCTAAAAATCAGTTAAGACCTCTTGACAAATTAGTATCGTTCGGATTTTCTCTCAAAGAACATCCCAAATCAGAGAAAAAAACTCTCTTCAAACTATCTCAAATCAACATCCCATCTTTTTCTCTTTCTAAAAATCAGTTATGGCCTCTTCCATTAGGTTTGTGAAGCCCTTATTCTTCTCTCTATAAACAGCTATGAGCCTAGCTCTATTTTCGTCTCTTCCTTCTTCCTCCTCTCTTTAAACGGTGCCCTTCTTTTCTCTCTTCCTTCTTCCTCCTCTCTCTAAACCGTAAACACAACTGTGAAACCCAAATTTCTACGGGCCTCTTTTCAATTGAAGAAATTCATAAAACTTTAACCATAATTATGGTGTGATCACAGTCACCATACTATAGTTAAATCCTTGTAATGAGAAAACAAAAATCGTGTATTAACGAATAAATTTTTGTACCTACCGTAGATGTGATGTTTAAGTATTAATGAATAAATTTATATAGTATATTTGTCACCATACTATAGTTAAATTATTTAATGAATAAATTTATATATTATATTTGTTATTGGTATGTAATGGGTAGATTTATATGGTACAATTGTTTTGGTATATACTAGTTAATTATGTATTTAATATTGAAGGATTGCATTAGAGTCACGAAGCATCTAAATTAATTGACGTAATTAAATATTCTAGTAAAGTTTTTATAGATGAATTAGTTATTGATGGTTTCACATAATTTTTATTTTTTAGAATTTCAAAAATTTTAATATTATAAATTTATCTGATTTTTTGAGCCCAATCCGATATATTATCGGCTTCCAAACTCATGGTGGGGACATTTTAGTCATGAAGTTATGATTCCCTCATGGGTGCGGGACCTAATCGTTAGTTTTTTGTCAAGTTTTATATTTGTAGTACGTTCAACACAATCCGTTGTAGTCTAGTTGGTTAGGATACTCGGCTCTCACCCGAGAGACCCGGGTTCAAGTCCCGGCAACGGAATTTGCCTTTTTAACTTCGAATTATACAATTAATTTATAATTGACTAATACAATTGTTTTATTTTTTTAACTTTGAATTGACTAAGTTTTATCTACAGTAAATAAAAATATTTTCCTGCATCCTATTAGAAGTTTGTATATTAACGAGTTTAATGCTATCTCTCTCGGCTAAAAAAATTATTTTTAGTGTTTATTTTTCTTTTTTCAGTATCAACATAATTTTCATTAAAAACAAACTCACATTTTAAATGTTGAGTTTTTTTTTTTTTTTCATAATCATCTTAACATAGATCGTGAATCTCTAAAATTTTGGATTAAAAATCCATTTTTAAAATAGACTTAAGTGGGGGCCCGCATATGCACAATATGAGTCAACCGACTCACCCCATACAAATTTTAAAGAAGCAAAAATGAAGTATGAAATTAAAATAAATAAATAAATAAGAAGATGCAAAAAATGAAGCATGAATTTAAAATAAATAAATAAGAAGAAGAAGAAAGAAAGTAGAGATTGGGACGAGTGGGTAAGTGCAAGAGATGGATGTTTGATGCATCAGGGTACAATAGTATAAAAATGTGTTCCCTTATGCGCAAAACACATTTTTATTAGTAAGGCCGGTAATAGACCGAACTTGGGCTGGGTGGGCCAACCGTGCCCCCTCAGAGCCAGTCTTGGGCCTCTCATGGCTGGATTGGGATAGGCTAAACAGACCAGACCCAACACACCTCCAAATTAAGGCGCACCTCTAATAAATAGGGGGTGGTTTCTATAAGGTTGCAACCTTAACAATTCAATTAAGGCGCACTTCCAAATTTATCATAAAAATGCAATTTTGGTGTAAAAAATTCTTATGATTATCAAAAAATCTATTTTTATATCTAAGTACAAAATTTTAAACTCCAAAAATAGTTAAAATCAAGTAGATATATAAATATATGCAAATCTTGAAAATGTACTATCTGGATAATGTGTGCATACATCTCGATGTTGAGATGATCAATTAGAGGGCTTTTCAGCATTAAAACAACTTGCTCCAATAGATTTTTGAGGTGCATTTATAATTCTACATTTGATAGTTACAACCATATATATACTTTTGCCAAAAAAAAAAAGCAAAGGAAAATAAAAAAAGGGAAGGAAAGCAAAAAAATAGAACTAAAAGTGTAGCTCATAATTGAACTCCATGAGCCCCAAGAAAACCTGTCTTGTCAAAATGTGTGCCTCATGGTTTCCATCTATGTGCAAAAGGAAACTTTTTAACTCAACATAAAATTACGAGAAATTTATTTATGGACTGTATTGGAAGAGTCAATTACAAAATGAGATCATGTTTGGCTCAAATTATTTACTATATCTCTCTTTGTCGTATTGCTTTTTCAAGTTATCTCCGTGTCCAGTAATTTTAACACCAAACAAGTGAGGTTTATACCGTACAGAACAAAACAGTTATCCGATGTTTGAAATACCAAACAGCTATTTGCTATCTCCAAAACCAAAAAACCCTATCTTTGCTTTACAAAATAACCCCAAATATTTATACGTCATCATTCTCTCTATCTACAAATACAAGTCCACCATATAGAAAATAAAGAAACCCTAAATGTTCACTGTCATGGAAAGAATCCGCAATTCAACC